GGGCTGTACGTTCACCATCAAATTTCCAAAATTCGTGTGTTGTGTGCTTTTCGCTTTAATCATAAATCTGCCCGACACACGTTTTTTGGGGGGAGCCATAATTTATTTTCTACTTTTTAGTCCACAAGAAAAACGTGTTTTTTTTTAAGTTTTTTTTAAGTATTTAATTTTTTTACCTCTCCTTGTGGAAAAAGTTTCGGAATGCTTCATAAATAGAACATTTACACAACTTGTGTGAAATAATTTACAATACATTGTGTGCATGAAAGTTGTTTTAATTAGCCCTTTTGTTGTATAAAAAAAATGTTGCGTCGTCTGTTACCACAATCTCTCCATGTTGAACATGCATGAGGTAATTAAAAAAATCATTCAGTAGAGTACACAAAAGAAAAGTAAACGTAAAAGACCTAAGAAGCCAATAGCTACAATCCAGTGGCAGAGATGCGATGCATTTAGTTTCGAGAGACACATCCTGTCTGTAACTTGAAGTAAGTTACACTGACACTAATGGGGACAGAAAATTGTTAGAAAGACGTCGTAAGGGCCTAAGAATGAAATAATAACGAATGAAGGAAATTGGTTGAAAAGAAGCCTTATTTGTACGTCGAATACCATCTGTTTCTACAATAAAATATGAAACACACAGCATTCATTGTCAATTAGAGCAATTTTTGAATAGAAAAATGGAATAATGTTGATCAAGATGATCATTACTGGGAAATGTTCAAATAATATTAACATCAATGCGATCATCCTAAGCGAAACTCGCTACATTTATAAAATTAATTTCAACAAGTTCGCATTGAGACGTAAATATTTCTGCAATTTCATAGAAATCGAGAGTCATCGTTATATTTCAGGCAGAAAAATATGTTTCCTAAAGTTCTTGAATAGTTTAGCAATTAATGATTGTTACATTGCTTTGAACACGATTTCTTTAAGGCGATCGATAGCTCTAGTGATCATTTATACCACACTCCTGGATAAAAAAATGTAACTCAGTACTCACTGCAGTGAGTGACAGGGAGCGCATTTTCTCGTCGACAAAAACGTGAAGTCACGGACGGGCGGACATGACGAGCACAATAGCGCCTTTTTGCCATAAATGAGAAAATGCGCTAAAAAAAAACTCCTGCTCCGAAATACAAATAGCGGGTTAAAAGGGTTATGTATATGTAGTGCCATCTCAGTATTCGCCTGGAATTTACTTTTCGTGATGGAAAATGGCTACTGCTTAAGTACGACAATAACTGAAACATAAACAATTTTTTAGCTCCGCTCAAGTTTGAATAGAAAAAGAACCAATAATTTTTTTTTTTCGAGCGGCACATCAGCACCTCATATTCCCATTTAGATCGTACATATTGACGTTTAAAGAAGAGCAACTCTGTGAATCTTGGTGAACGACCCAGTTAAAATTTAGGGCAGGGAATAGAGCAGGCCGTCGCCGGCTGCAGAGCCGACGTAGGGACGCGACAGAGCCGCGATAGAGCAGAAATGTCCGCATTAGAGACGATATCGCCAGCCGCGTAGCAGCGCTAATTCACCTCTGAGTAGGGTAACATGGGGCAGCGAGCCCACTGCGGGTCACGGGCCCATAGCGGGTTTCTCGCTAAGTATGGCAGATATTGGTCCGTGTTCTCTACCGCCGGTCGACAGTTTCACTGGGATGAAGTGCACGGATTTACGTTTTGATTTTTGACATTCATATCGTATTGACATTAACAACGGTATTTAGAAACTAACACATTCAATTATCGAGGAAATATACACATCAAACTACTCACCGCTATGAACTATCTGAAAACGTCGAAGGCAGCTCCGAGAATCGAACGCAGATCCTCCGCGTCGTAGCCCACGCCTGTACCACCTTGGCCACGCGAACACCTTACCAGCCTAGGCTCTATGTACTACTTGACTATAATACGGATGCTACATTACGTTTACGGCATTACGTTCAATTATCCTTCGTTGAACTTGATAGATATTATTCATAATGCACTAATTTCAAGAAATGAACAAAGTAGCCATTCGTATGATCCCGTCAGTTAGATAAAAGTGAATATTAGAGCTAAATTTGTTAAGTAAATTATCCTATTGCATTAGCTTCATGCCATTCGATAATTTGATAGGAAAATTAACAACGTACTCGAATCATTAGTCTGATGAAATAGCAAGTTCTCTAAGAGTTTTAATGCAAAGAAAGCGCCAAATAAATTCACCATATCTTCGATGAAAACGTTTCGGAGACCAGCACCGAAACGCAAGGAAATTCGATCAATTTATAAACTGATGATAGTGCTGGCTTACACATTTTCATTGATAAAATGGTGAATATCCTTGGTATTTTCTTTGCTCTAACATTTACTGTTATTAACGCGTTTTCTGTAAATCCAAGCTAGAAAACTTTTTAATGGTAAACTGATTGATATCTCGCTTTGGCAATGCGTTATTGACCGTAAACGTTTCTGTTTGCGTGTTAAAACTGGAAGAGCATATAAAATTCTTACGTAATTCAAAGTATTATATTACTGACGTGAAATAAATATCATAACTGGCACCAGAAATTGACACAAAATAACGTACTATGCGAATGAACTAGATGAAGGATGAAGTTCATTCTCCCGCCACTAGCTGTTTCCAACCCCTAACCCTCCTCCCTCTCTCAATGCCCCCCATGCACGGCCTGCTTAGCTGCTCTGTTCAGCTCCTTGCCGGGCAATCCAAGTACCAGCGCTAAAACAGCGCAGAGTTCCGGCCCTGCCGAGCTGCTAGAATTTTGTCTCTATATTAGCCATGGCGCAGCGCAGTTTTAGGGATAGATGGCCGGTTATAGTTTCACGGCTCCATCGTGCTAAAGCGCGACCAGCCCGGCTAAACCCGGCGCCGGTCTCGGCTCAAAATTTTAACTGGGGAGTAGATGCACATGCATTTTATTAACAGGTTAAACCATTTCAGGTGGTAAAATTTATACAATAATTGCGTTGCATTCTCAAAGAGCTGCATCAAAGTATTCAGATCGATTTCATCAAATCACTGACGAAAAAAGCAACGCTTCTTTTTGCAAGTCGGCACCGGTTTACAATCAGAAAATGGTGAAGTTTGCGGAGGACGTTCAAAATAATAAAGCTCTTTCTAACATACAAGATTTTTTAAGGTCTATGATTAAGAATTTTTTTCGCAACTTTGCTTAATCGTACAATGGAACACCGATAAGAAAGTAAATGAAGTCAGCTTATCAATAAACATGATGGTATGAAGAAATTTCTTTATCTTTTCCACTAACTCTGAAGGTCCCAATTATGTGCAATTTACGTTTTAAATGACGACTTTATTATTATTATTATTATTATTATTTTATTATTATTATTATTATTTTATTATTATTATTATTATATTTATTATTATTATCCGATGCCATTCCTATAAATTGGAATTCAAAAACTCGTGGTGCGGGGATTACATTTTCTTCCTTGCTTATCTCATATCCAAAGAAGACGCGACTCCACTTGAAGGAAATGTTCTAAAAATAAGAGGACTGTGTTTATCAGTCAGCAGTGCGCGTATTTAACAGGAGACACGCAGAAAAAGCATAGCGGGGATCAACAGCGAAAGCTGTTTGCTTTACCTATAGCCCGCTACGCTATTCGAATTCCCATTTCGATACGCACTCAATTTTGGCACTCATAAATCCCACTCATTAATCACCCCCGGCACTCATTAATCACCCCCGGCACTCATTAATCACCCCCGAGTAATGTAAGATAGTATGCATTTTGCAATGTGGGAAGAGACAGCCTATGTATTGTAACGATTGTAACTAGCATGCAAACTCAGAATGTCACATGCTAGAATGTATAGTGTGATGTGGAATTGAGCCTCGAGGCAGATCATGAATTATAATGATAAGGCTGGAGCATGTCGCTGTGCAAGTTCAGCTGAACACACTTGATTGTGATCATTTGCGATCTAAAGTCATTAGTTACATTGTCAGCTTTGATGTCTTTGCAAATAAGGAGCAACTGTTAAGGAGCTTCGCCATTTCATCTGAACCAACGCTGAGCATACGGCGACGTGGAGACAAATGATCTGTCATGTCGAGGTACAAATTCAGCTGAACACACTCAGAGTGTGATCAGTTGCGATCTAAAGTCATCTGTCACATTGTCAGCTTTGACGTCTTTGCAAATGTATAGCATCTGTTTGAGAGCTTCGCACCTTCATCTGAATCAACGCTGAGCACGGAGGATGTGCTCCTCTTATCAGATATGTCGTTGATGGAGCCAAACACTTGTGACGAAAAAATTTTTGTTCCAACACAAATTGTGGTTATTTAAGCAAAAAACTTTCCATGAAAAAATTAGAAAACTGAAACAAAATTATCTTATTTTCGATTATATTTCCGCTTTATTTTAGATATTTTTATTATTTTATACCAAAAAGTTTGAATTTTTCTAACAAACAGACTAATGTAAATTTCAACAATTGGTTGTGGAGCTAGATGCCATTAGCTGCGGTGACGGATGATGTCTGACAGACAGCTGTAGGCACGCGACTGACAAATAAAACCAACTGTTTCAATAATATCATAAAGCTATAAAGTCAGACCATGTATCGTACCAAGTCATAAGACTTCTAACAGCCTTTCGTTCACGACGCGTTTTGCCTTAGCCTCTTACCACCGCCTATAAGCCTTTAGGACCTCCAACGTGATGAAATCTGTCGGTCTTGTCCTTCTTCTCATAGCAGCCTTTGCCTACTCCGGTGTTGAAGGGTAAGTGAACTCAGCAATTGCATTCGTGCGCTGTACTCTCCCCTCCTGTTCACTTTCATCACATATAATAAATTATTAGATTATATTGCTTTGTGCTCTAATTTTGTACAGCCACTATAAATCAGTGCTGAAGAAGTTACGAAAAAGTTGCATTTATAGCTATGGATATTACTTGTTTTACTGACTGAAATGGGAAATGTTTATTTTTTTATGTTACTTGACTTACTTATTCGTATTAATTTCTTTACCCCAGTGCAAATGCGTGTGAAACGGCCCTCAAATCCAAATGGACGCTATATAATGGAATTCGTGGAAATAGCGTCCCTATTTCTGTCGTCGACGCCTGCCTGTTGGATCCAGCAGGACGTGCAGCCTTGGTTGCAGGGCAAGGTTAGTTATTGCAAGATTTATTACCAGCAATTGCTTGATCTGAAATTTTCTACCATTGTGCTACTCTATATGGGCAATTCACACATCTGATATTTTTTCCTAAACTCAATTCTAGACTTTTACCTTTTAATTATTGATGTTATTTGGAGACGTTTTCTTCGAATATGAGTTGAACCATCTTAAATTCATGAGAGATCTACTTAAAACAATAAGTATAGTAATTTACGTGGTGTGCAGGTTATTCTGGCTGCCAGGGTTACAACTACTATGAAGGAGGCGATATCAAGTGCGACGTTCTCTTCGCTCCCTTCTGGAAATGTATAGCGGCAAAACTTGGTTACGTAAGTCAAGAAATATTGCTAAGGTGCCTTTTCATCATCTGTCATGAGCTCCACTCTGGATATTAGCTGAAACTATTTGTGGTGTTGAACATGATTTATTTGTGACAGCTCATAATGTGATCAACGCTACGTATATTAGGTGCATCATCAGAGATATCTCTTTCAAACAATTCTATACGTTGTTAAATATGTTATGAAGATACAACACTTATAAATGTGAATACAGAACTCGATCATTGATTTATTTCTAGTTGAAGACTAATGGGTCGATCGAACAGAAGAAGATCTTAGCCCAGTTCAAAGCTGACGCCACTAGTGACCCCAAGTGCAGCGTTGCTCAGTACAACTTCGCTGTGAAAAAATGTGGCACTACCATCAAAAACTACAATGTAAGTTTTTCTTGCCTTAGCGCGACACTCATAGCAGGAAAATAAGTTGAAATTATTTCGAACAAGATTTATGTCAAATGTTAACTTAGAAGCCGAGTGATAATTTAGTTTACGAGCATGCGGAAACTTATGCAAATCATTCATAGTTCTTCTGAAAATACGTGTCAAAATTTTAGACTTACCAGCAAGTTTCTTTGATCTGGTAATCCCCTTTTCTGATGTGAATGTGACATATGGATACCTGTGAATCTGTGTTGCATATCATTCAACCATCTCTATAATTTCTTTGAATAATGTTGCTTAAAGTTATTGCTGAAATTTTGAGAATTTTTCACCTCTATGCACTACAACTGAAGCATTACTTAATGCCATGATCGTTCTTTTGTTGATATTATAAACTACTGCAAACAGTTCCTGAAGAAAGTCCAAGGCATCGCCACGGCGACGGACCAGTTCACGGCCGGCTGACCTGCGCAATCTGGTCTTCATTTCTTCATCTGATCGGCGGCTTCGAAGTGTTCACTACATACAAGGTCTGAAACAACAGGTCTGAAACACCAGGTCTGAAACAACAGGTCTGAAACAACAGGTCTGAAACAACAGGTCGGAAACAACAGGTCTGAAACAACAGGTCTGAAACAACAGGTCTGAAACAACAGGTCTGAAACAACAGGTCTGAAACAACAGGTCTGAAACAAGAGGTGGTCTGACAACATACAAGGTCTGAACAACATACAAGGTCTGAACAACATACAAGGTCTGAACAACATACAAGGGGAACAACATACAAGGTCTGAACAACATACAAGGTCTGAACAACATACAAGGTCTGAAACAACAGGTGCACAATAATAATTAGGGGACCACTTTCTTCAGTCACTGCAACGACGTGCAGTACAAGTTGTCAAATCGGAAGTTTATTGTAGTTTGCCAAACATTAAATTCAATAAAATCCTGCTTATAATCATATTAAAAATTTATATTATATTTGAAAGTTAAATTGAAACAATTCTGTAGAAGTGAAGCATTTCGCTTTGTACCAGTATATTTTGCGTCAAGAAATTGCTATTTGATGCACTTGGAAATTTTAGGGATTTTCACCTAAAAAATTCGACAAGTTCAATATAATGAGGATTGAATTTAAGTTTAAATGAATAAGTGTATAACGAATCATTATAAACTGTAAACCAGAAATCCTAATAGGCTTAGCGTTCCTAGCACTGCTGGCGAAGGGAACTTTTACGAACCTTTATCTTTGTTTTTTCTTCTTTACCTTGGTTTTACTTCTGATTCATATAAACAAACAATTATTATACTGTATTGTGATCCTAACGAGGTTGAAAACGTTTCGGAACACTTAAAAATAAAATATTCACACAGCTTGGACGAAATAGTTTACAATACATTATGTGCATGAATGTTGCTTTTTGATTAGTCCTTTTGTTGTATATAAAATGTTATGTCGTCTGTTGCCCCAATCTTTCCATAATGAAGATGCATGAGGTAATTGCAAAAATATATTGAGTAAAGTACACATAAGAAAAATAAACAAAAAATGGAACTCAGTACTCACTGCAGAGTGACAGAAAGCGCCTTTTCTCGTCGACGGAAACGTGAATTCACGGACGGACAGAATGACGGACATGGCGTGCACAATAGTGCATTTTTCCATAAATGAGAAAATGCGCTGAAAAGACCCAAGAAATCAATAGCTACATTGTTGGAAAAAGCATTTTCCACATGCTTCATTAAGCTTAAATATCTGGACTTGTTTTGTGCTGTAAAATGAGTAAACGGAAACTGTAGGTTGTTGAGCGGATAGCCGGAGAGTCAGTTGGAAGAGACACGTGGCGCCGAATACACAGATTACTATAGCTTCCTGATACGCTAGCCTTTTACGTGTCCAGTGTCCGAACTATTTAATATAAGCTATATAGTCCTAAATGAACTTCTGTTAAAACCGATCTGTGACTAATTGTATTAACCTACTTCGTGAATAAAGCTATTGAACTTAAACGTCTGCAAGTGCCCTTTACAAATTCGTGATTAATTATAGAACCAACAGTTAGACAACTCAATGTACTAAAGAACGATCACTATAGGCCTATATGCGGTGCCTCAGCTGATGCGGCAGCTGACAGGCCCGACATATTTTGGTGCAGTGACTCTAGTGTAAATTAGTGATGTGATTTTCAGTAGTGAATTTTCACTGTTCCCTTTACCACGTTTTACCGACTGCATAGAACCCAATAGTGCGCATCATGGCTGAAGCTGTGGGAATTTCGGACAAGACACTTTTGAACGAGAGAAGAGATTCTTCTGCAGAGGAGGAAGAGGCCATAAGGAAAAACGTGGAATACATAAATGAAATTATTACTAACTGTGAGAGCAGAAGAGGCAAGATTACACCTCAGTTAGAAATAGAACTAAAAAAGCTAAAAGAACGATTCAACAATATTGGTCAAACCGATCAGGGAAACGCAGACAACAATCTGGATGAACAAGCTAAGGCAGCTAGTAAAACTGGAGCAATTCCCAAGAAGGAAAGCAAGCCGGCCATCAGAGCAAAACCCAACAAAAGGTCATATTTAGGCACAGATACCAGCAGTAGCAACGTCAGCGTGACATCAGACTCGCCGTCACACGCTACAAACTCATCTGACTCCAATGAAACTACCCAAAGCAAGCGAAAGAAACTGAAGAAGAAAATTAAAACAGGTCGAAAAAGAAACAACAATGACGACTTCAATCTCTTAGTGAATGCAATGAAAAGACTGGACATGAGAACAACTCCAACATTTGAGAGGTTCGACGAAGACGGTGGAATGAATTTGAAAGTGTATTTAAACTTGTTTGAAGAGTATTGCAGAGAGAATTTCAGAGGAGCTCAGTTATTTTGGATCGGCGAACTAGAGAAGAAATTACAAGGTGAGACATTGAGAGCATTCAGAGCCGTCAGGTCAGTGGACGACACATACGATAGCCTTAAGCTCAAAATGGTCAAGTGGTACGACAATCAACGCCTGGCGAGGAAGAGCAAAAGTCGCAGCAATTTTGTGCAAGCTAAATTCATTCAAGGAGAAACGGTATATCTTTTGGCTACCAGACTGGAAAAGTTGTTTAGAGTCGCATATCCCAACAAAGACGTGAACACCAGCAAGACACTTCGAGAAAAATTTGCATCAATTCTGCCTAAACGATTCAAAGAAATGCTGAAAAATCAGATTCTTGGACACAGGATGGCGAAAACAAAAATGCTATGGACTGAAGTGAAACAATTTGCTAGTTTCTGCGATCTGGAAAAGACCACCGACAAAAACAATTCAGAAGTAGAAGAGGTAGTTATCAACGTCGGATTAACTGATCGACAAATGCGCCCTCAAAACACGCGCAAAGTATCTTCAAGGTCGACTCAAGGAACTCAACAAGCGAAAGGATCAAACAGAAACTGCTTTACTAAGAACTTCAGGTATAACCAAAATTATAACGACAATGGAATGTGGAAGACACCAGGAAATTTTGATAACATTAGAGGAGACAAAAATAGAATGAACAGCGGGAACACACGACGTTTCACCAGAGTTCCTGAACATCTGATGGGCAAGAACTTAAAGTGCTTCTATTGTGATCGAGTTGGACATGTGGCAGCTAACTGTCGGTCCAGGACAGGAGCATGTTTCATCTGTGGTTCATTGAACATTTCTTCAACAATTGTGAAAGACGACGCGGAGTGCCTGACCAATCACATATCAGTAGGCCTTCGTGGAACGCCAATAAGGCGATACGACCATCTATTCTGACACAGATCAACGAGCGACAAAATCCTCGATTTCAGAGCCAAGAAAATCTGCATAGTCTAGGGAGCAATCCACGTCAAAGAAGGATGTCGGGAAACTGAGAGAACCTGGCTCAACCGGAGGTATGCCAGAGTATTCCTCAAGAGTGACCTCCAAACCCAAGTTTAGGAAGAACTTGTGGACCAATCGCTATTCATCGTTAATGGACGAAGTGGAAGACAAGCCAGAAGATGAGATTTTCATTTCACAAGAGCAACATAATACCTCGAGGAAGACGGTTGAGAAAAAGACAACCAAACCTGATACCTCACTTGCTCAGGCTGAGCAAAAACGCCCGACCAATCGTAGTGAAGTAAAAGCTGGTGAGTGCCATCACGATCATTTCACTCATAAAACCGAAAGTAAGAAAGATGAGGCAAAAATTGTGTTGAATAAGCAAAATTTAATGTCTAGTAACGTACTTAGTTTATGTCCCGTAAAATTAATGATTATTCCCATAACTATAAACAACCAAGTTTTCAATGCATTAGTTGACAGTGGTGCCAGCACCAACATCATGAAGGAGAGTGTGTGTAACCAGTGTAATGGTGCTGTTGATGCAAGTCAACGAGTTGTAATTCGAGGCTTAGGTAGCACGACGGTGCAAACCTTAGGTAGAACATTTCTTGAATGTAAAGCTCGTGTAATTAATGATTCATTGTACTATTTTGATGTCGTAAGTGACGATTTGCTTTCATTTGATATTGTATTAGGATCTAAATTTTTGAAACAGAATGATTTGTCTATTGATGTGTCAAATAGGATGATCTGTAGGATTGATAAGAATGGTGGTAAAATTCTGCAATATCTAGCAGATGACGGTAGCATTTCTAAAATCATGCATGAGGAGATCCCAGTGTTAGCAGCAGCGAATGTAGAACTGGATCTCAAGAAAGTTAACTATGTGCCTATTGCGGTGAATATTATTTCTCGTGTTGCAAATAATTCAGAGGAAACTTTTTTCTATGATGGAAAACCAACGAATACGAAATTAAAGAGCTTTAGTGGTATTATTGAAGGCAGTGATATTCAAGGTAGCAAAGTAGCTGTAGCATGCAAGAATGGTAGAGCTATGGGCAAGCAGCGAATTAGGAAGGGTGAACGTCTAGGTTATATTAGCACATTAGTAGATGTAACGACGTCAGATGATAGGGCAGCAGAGCAGTGGTCGGAAACGGATATTAGAGGTAAAATTAAGTTGGATAACAATCTCACTGTAGAGCAGAAGTCAGCGGTTTATGCCATGTTAGTTAAAACGCAGGAGATAATGAGCAAGGGCGAATTCGACATAGGGAAAGCTCATGTAATTCCCCATAGAATAAAGTTGACGAACAACACTCCTGTATGGCAAAGACCACGTAAATTTTCAGATCCGATTAACAAGGAAATAGACAGACAATGTAAGGAATTATTAGCTCTTGATATCATAGAATATAGCAATTCACCATGGAGTAGTCCAGTAGTTCCAGTATTGAAAAAGGCATCTAGTGAAGGTGGGGGAAAAGAAGTTAGAATGTGTATAGATTATAGGAAACTAAACCAGCAGACTGTTACGGAGAAATTTCCAATGCCAGACCTATCGGAAAGTATTTACAGTGCTCATAACGCCAAATATTTCACCAAACTTGATTTGATCAAAGGCTATTATCAAGTCCCTTTAGACCCAGACAGTAAAGAATACACAGCGTTCAGTACGCCACATGGGCATTTTCAATTCAAAACTCTTTCTTTTGGGCTCAAAAATAGTGGAATTGCATTTCAGAAGAATATGCAGAGAATTCTTTCGGAAGTTTGTTTTAATAATGTACTTGTTTACATAGACGATATACTGATTTTAGGTCATTCATTCGAAGAACATTTAGAATTAGTTGAAAAGGTCATAAATACGTTGATTAGATACGGGATTAAAGTAAAGATTTCCAAGTGCGAATTTTTCCGTAGTAAGGTAGCATTTTTAGGGCATATAATAGGTGAAGAAGGGATTAGCAAATCACCAGAGTTTTACGATAAAATTAGGAATTTTCCAAAACCATCTAACGTAACAGAGTTAAGGCAGTTCTTAGGTTTAGTAAATTTTGGTAGAAGATTTCTTAAAGACTGTTCAGTAATTGCGAAACCCTTAACGGAATTGACAGGAGGACAAAAGCGTGCGAAACTTGACTGGAACCCCGAGATTTAATTAGCATATCTCCAATTAAAGGAAAAGTTGTTAGAGGAAGTAACTTTATCGTTCCCAGATTACTCAGAAGAAGCATCACCATTAGAACTATATGTAGACGCTTCATCAGTAGGTGCAGGAGGTTGCCTTATGCAACAGCAAGAAGGCGTGTACAAAGTTATAGGGTATTCTTCAACCACATTTTCTAAAGCAGAGAGTCGATATTCAACGCTAGAACGAGAACTCTTAGCTATCCGATGGGGTATCAAGATTTTTTCTCCTTTCATTTTAGGCACGAAATTTATTCTATACACAGACCATAAACCTTTGTGTTACTTGCATAATATGGCCATAAGTAATTCAAGATTGATGAGAACATTCAACGAAATTTCAGATTACGACTTCGAAATTAAATATAGACCAG